TGGCTCTGCAACTTGGATAGGGAAGGGGCTCTGCTCTGGGTTAGGTGGATGCAGCCCTACTTCTCTCTGATGTGCGGTTTGCTGTGGGCACTGGGGCAGGTGGGTTTGCTCTGGGTAGGGGGCAGGTGGGTTTGCTGCGGGCGGTGGGAGCTGGGCAGGGTTTGCTGTGCATTGGGGTCCAGCAGGAGAAGAGGGAAGTCTGGCTGCCCTTAGCATCAAGGTGCTGCAGGGCAGGTTGTGGTGGGGGCGCAGATCTGCCTGCCTGCCTCCTCTCCCTACTGTGCCCCGGGCAATTTCAGCAACCTAGCAACACGTCCCTGCCCATAGCCAGCCCTGCCTTTGTAGGCAGCCTTCCCCATTCATCCCGTGAGGGGCTCTAAATTATTAATTATTATTATCAGCAGCGTCTCAGTGTTGCCTCTTGCATCGCAGCTTTCTGCTGAGCAACAGAAGCTCTAGGATGGAGGGTGGGGGGGGAGGTTGGTACCTGCTGCCTGTCCTAAAGGTAACACCTTCCCTTACTCCCAGGGGGGCAACAAATTGTTCCCCCATCGCCCCCTCTGCCTCCCTAACAGCGGGGAAGTGTTCTCCTCCCATGTTGCTGTCCCTCCAGCCTCTGCAAGACCCAGGGGAGGCAGCATCTGGTACCCAGTGCAATTCACACAGGTGCAGGATTAATTCAACTGCTCCCCAGCCCTTCTTGCCTGGTTTGGGTTTGCATCTGACAAGGTGAGGTCACCATTGCCCCCTCTCTCTTCTGTGTCCAACCTGGGAAGCCTGTACCACCAGGCTCTGGCTGCTGCCCCAGCAGGAGGAATTTAGGGGACATGCTAATTAGTCTGTTCCAATAACAGCAGCCCCTTGCTTCCCATATGCACATATCAAACCTTGATTGGACTTTACATTTGTCATGGTGATCCTTTAAGGAGAAAAAAACTACACATATGCACTACGAAGCTGATGAGCAGTGTCACTCATACACCACAGTGATGAGCAGTCTATCTCTCTCTTACACATACACACTCTCTCTCTTACATCCCCGCTCCCTCCCAGCTGATGAGCAGCAACTGTTTTGTTTTGTTTTTTTAAATCTCGTTCTCTTGAGGCATACTTTTCCAGCCAGGTTGGCTACAAAAATATTCTGTACGTCAAGATTAAAACCTCTCTGTCCATTTCTAATGCACGTATTACTGTCCTAGCTAGGCTCAGAAATTCCAGAGCCTATTAGCTGTGGCCCCTGTTATATCTGATCCAGATGACTGTTTCTTTGGGTCTTAATTTTTATGTTTGTACAGCAGCCAGTGCAATTGTGGTGCTCAATAAATAATAATAACATCAGATACAGTGGAAGGCATCCCTCATCTCTGAGGGATGAACTGTTACTCAGGACTCAAGGACAAGTAGCAAGCCTGAAAAGTTGCAATTTATTTTAAATATTATTCCCTGAAAAAGAATACATCTGCCTCCCCTCCAAAAGCAGCCGTCTCCAGGAGGTACAAAAACGTATTTGTCTCCCCAAGCATTTATACATAATATTTGTCTAATACTTAGATAATGCTTGGTAGTCTGAGAGTGATGTTGTAGCTGTGACAGTCTAGGAACTATGTTAGAGACAAGGATTTCTTCGGGTGATATTGGTCCAGTAAAAGATATCAGCCTAAGAAATCTTTGCCTCACTTAGCATTTAAAGTGTACGTGAAAACATCAGTTACTCAGTCCATAATACCAACTACACAAGCAAGTTTGTAGATAGGGAAAATGAGGCAGAGAAGGTGTTCCTTGGCTCTGCAGAAATGACTAGAGATTTCTGGTGTTTATCACGTTTTTAGATGCCCAACATAAGACATTTTAAAAGCATATGATTTGCAAGAAGTGTAGAGCAGCTGCCTTCTGAAAATTGGGCCCCTTCAAGGGGTCTTAATGGGCCACCCAAACGTGGCCCACCTGTCTGTTCAAAAACAGGCCAGTATCAGAACTGGGATTAGAATATAAAAGTTCTTGGGTCATTGTCCTGTGCCAAGTTTGTGAGACTAGGACTGACTGCTTGTATTTCTGGTCCACAAGTTACTTCATAGTTAATCAAATCTACAGGAAAGAGACATTTTAGAAATGACAGCATCACTCCTAGAGGAAGATGCCGGGTGGAGGGGAGATACTTCACTTGTGCGTCATAGCAGTTTCTGAGGAAAGTCAGTCTTCTGCTTCTGAAATGCTGGTATGTAGAAAGAAACCTTGTTTAATGCAGCAGTAAATCAAAGCGGAGTTCTCTGTGGCTGTACATTTCAGAAAGTACTAACATGTCCTCCTAAGAGGATTGAACATTTTTATTTGATTCCTTTTTTTATGAGAGGTTTGTGCTTTTTGTTTTTAATTTAAATCTGTTGGGTTATGCTTATTTTCCGAATGAGTTGAGGGAGGCCACGTCTCCTATCCTAAGGAAAATTGTATTCAGTAGACATGTAGACAAGAACCAGCCCACAGAGAAAACCAAAGAACATGTATAATGTCAACACCTCGTTCTACCTCCCAGTAACCACCTTGTTAAAAATCTGCAACCTGAAGAGGGCTTTATTTCAAGAACAGCGTAATTCTTCTTTCTGTCATTGTGGTAACAGAAGAGGAAATTTCAATTTATAAATATGCTCCAATTGGCCACAACCACACTAGTTTAGCTCACTGGTGGTAGTAGTGACAGTAGCATTACTGGAGACAAAAACTGGTTTGAGAACTAGGGTGTTTAAGCCAGTGGCTCAGCTTTTTTCTCATAATAAGCCCCTGGTATTCTCTGCCACTTAGACAAAACATAGGAATACAGTATAACCTCATAAATCTGGATATCAAAAATCTGGAATTCTCAAAAATCCAGCAATTTTTAAAAATGCACTACTGCCAGATGTGGAGACAGAAGCTCGCATGAGGCAGCTGCCATCCACCACCTTGTGTCGCCGCTCCGTGTGTGGCTGTTGCTTTGGGACTGGCTGCTGCCCCCCCACCATCCATCCTCCTAGACCCCACCATCCACCACCCCACTCCATGTGCAGCCACTGCTCTGGGTCCAACTGCTGCTCCCTCCTCTCCCTCCGCTCCACAACTGGCCACCACTCTGGTTTCAAAAATCTGGAATTTTCAAATTTCCGCCAGGTGCTCAGTCCCAAGCATGCCAGATTTATGAGGTTATACTATATAAGCATATAGGACTAGAACAGTGATTGTCAACATTTTTTGTACCAAGACCCATTTATAAACATGGCCAGTCCCAACCCAGTAAATAGTGTAAGTAGAAAACAGCCCCCTGGCTGTGCTGGTGCCCCTCACTCCCAACCCGCTGCCCCCCAGTGTGTGGGGCAGGGTGTATTTGGGAGCTCTGGAACTCTGCCAGCCTGCAAGGGAAAAGCCACCATTTCCCACATTTTTCTACTTTAAAGGAGAATCCATTTTTAAAGTTTGTTTACAACCCTTTCATATATTCTTACAACCCACTTTTGGGCTGCAACCCCCCACGGGTTGAGAAATGCTGGACTAGAAGGTACCTCCTGCATCACTAGAAAACATGCAAGCAACACCTGTGCACAAGAATATCCAGTGCTTCCTGTGCTCTGTGGCAGGCCAGTAGGGGGTGCTCCTGCACTAAGTTACCCACCTCACTGTGCCTGACCACCTTCCAGGCTCCCAGTGCCTCCCTGGGGGCACCTCATGTCTGGCCAACCCCCTTCCTGGAGCACATTCACTAGCCTGGGGGTAATACCGCCACCACCCAGGGTTTGGACTGATCCTGGCTCTGTGCCCCCTGGAAACACAGGCCTATTACCCTTGAGGGGATTCAACCCACTTCAAGAAGTTGGGGTGCTTCCCTCAGTCTGAAGCACAAATAGTGGTCTCCCTTAGTCAGCTGAACCAACATGACCCCAAGGCATACCCCTCTCCCAATAAGTCTCCCACGCTAGGTACAAAGGAGAACTTTATTGGTTACAAGGAGTAGGTTTGGAATAGGATACAGGGTGGAGCAATATCAGAGAAATCCCGTAGAGCAAACAGGGTGGCTGGGTAGCCTTTGATCACGCATCTCAGTTACTGCAAGCTATATATCTAGTTAGATCTCAGGTATCTTACTCACAAGTATCATCCAGAGGCAGGTGGAGATTCCCTCTGGAGGCAGGCAGTTCATTGATCATGAGTTTCAGAACAGAGCAAGTTTCAGATCCTTCAACTCTTCTCTCTCAGTGTTTATCATGGCTACTGCCATCCTCCTGGGCAGTTCTTAACTTATATAGACCTTATGACTTCA